ATATTAAATATATTAAATAGTATATTAGGTTTTTTAGTAATTATATTAGATATTATAGTTAATAGAATAGATAGTTCTAGAAGGTTATAAGACTATAAAGGTATAAAGGGAATAAAGGTTCTATTAAAAATCTATAATTAAGGTAAAAGTAATTACTAATTAGTATTAAAATTACTATTCTAAGTAGATAATAATTATAAGATTATAAATATAAAGTACTTATAAAAGTACTTTATAGGAATAGTTATATAATAATAATTCTTAATTAATTAATAAAATAAACTATAGAAAAAAGAGGCTATAGTTAAATATATAAATAAGTAATACCTTAAGTACTATTAGGAAATTATAGGACTAAAAGAATAATTAGTAGTTATATATATTAATAGTTAATAGCTTATAAGTAGTTATTTTACTTACTTATAGGAGATAATAATACCTTTATAGTAATCTAGCTTTATTAGCTTAGTTACCTACTATAATAGCCTTTATAATACCTTATATTAAGGGTATAGGTATTAAGACTTCTTTATATACTATTATATAATATAACTACTATATATATATACTATATAGTATAATTAGCTATTATATATAACTATATATAGTATAAATCTATTTACTATATACCTTTATATATAGCCTATCTTACTAAATATTTACTATACTTAGCTAACTATATCTACTATAGTGCTTACTAGTATAATACTAAACCCCCTTTTAGTATAGATAGAATACTAAGTATAGGTTCTTCTTAACTTATAATATACTATTAAATTTATTCTTATAGAGCTTAATAGGTCCCTATAAAGGGCTAAGTAAATAACTTACTAGGATCTAATAATCCTAAATAGCTAAGCTCTTTAAGAGTATTATTATACTAGTATTTAGTATTAAGTATAAAAAATCCTTTAATTTTAATACTCTTAAGTAGTAAAAGTATATTATTAAAAGCCTTATTTATTATACCTTTAATAAATATACCTTAATTCTATATATTAGTTATATAATAGATATTAATTAACCTACTAATAACTAGCTCTAAGTAATTCTTTTAGTATTAAATTTAGTAAGAGTTTTAAGTATTAATAAAGGTATTAAACTTATCTTTAAGAATTAAGGTATATATTATATATAATATAACCTAATCTATAAGATTATTCTTAATAAAAAGAGCTATTTTAAAAAGCTTATAGAAAAAGTAAATCTATTAGTTAAAAGTACTATTCTAAAGCTATAACTATTATAACTTAATATAGATATTTAATATACTTTTACTATATATATAGTATAATTTAATATAATTACCTTAATAGTATTTATAAGAATTTCTATTTATATCTATATAGTAAAGCTTTACTAATACTACCTTAATAAGAAGTATCTATATTACTATCTAAAGAGGTATTTCCTACCTATAATCTAACCTTATAGAATATAGTTATATACTAAGGTATTTAATAGTTTATAAATACTACTTAAAGGTTAATAATACTATAGTTATTAAATAGTTAATAAAGAACTAAATAATAGCTTAAAAGTATATATTAATATAGGTATATATTTAGTATTTAAATTAAGATAATTTCTTATATCTATTAAGGTACTATAAGAAATTTAGTCTTAATACTAAGGAATTATAGTAATAGTAAGTATTCTTAACTTATTAATAGTTAACTTCCTTTAAAAAGGCCTTTTAATAATAGTTATAAAGCTAATTCTTTAATACTAGGATATACCCTTTTATTTATATATAGTTATATAAATAACCTTACCTAAAGTTAAGTACTAATAAGGTCTTTTAAAGGTCTTTATAAATAAATATAATTATTTAATTAAAGGCTTCTTTCTACTTATTAGGATCTATATACTACTTTTTTAAATTAGTATTAAGCTATAAGTATTATATAACCCTTTTAAAGATATTAATTTAATTATAAGTTAAAGAATCTTAAGTAATAAATTTATTATTATATTTATATATATAGAAATAGAATTAAATTTACTTAAATAGCTACTTATACTTACTAGCTTTTAAAAGACCTTATTATATAACCTTTTACTATAAGGTATAGTAATTAACCTCTAACTATTAATAGGCTATAAGTAGTATATTTAATTTATTTAATATCTTATAGAGTAAGCTATAGGTATAATAAAGGGAGGTAATATCTATATAGAGGCTTTTAAGGATAGTATCTAGGTTTAGCTTTTAATATTAAATTTACTATTAAAAGGTATAAATATTAATTAACTAGCCTTCTTTATTCTAAAGATATAACTAAATAAAGCTATATATTATAGTAATAGGTATATTCTTTTAAAGCTTTATTAAAATAAACTTATATATAAGCTTTAAGTTAATTATTAGTTAAACTATAATAATAGTATAGAAATTCCTCTACCTTTAATAAAGCTAGTATATATACTAACTACTAGCCTTTATTAAATATAGAGGAATTAGGTATATAGAGGAATTAGGTATATAAAGAAATTAGGTATATAAAGAAATTAAGTATATAGAGAAATTAGGTATTACTATATAGAGGAATTAGGTATTATAAGTAGCTTCCTTACTACCTTAGTAATTTATAATATTAATTAATTATAATAGTACTTTAAAATACTAAAAATATATATTATAAGTAGCTTCCTTACTACCTTAGTAATTTATAATATTAATTAATTCTAGTACTTAGAAATACTAAGAATATATATTATAAGTATATATTATAAGTAGCTTCCTTACTACTTTAGTAATTTATAATATTAATTAATTCTAATATTTAGAAATATTAAGAATATATATTATAAAATAGCCTTTTATATAGTAAAATAACTTATTTATTTAATACCTAGGAATATTCTTAAAAAGGCTATATAATAAAGTAAAAAGAATATATATCTTTCTTATTTTACTATATCATATACTTAGCTTAACTTATAAGTTTACTTAAGAATAGTAGCCTATCTTAATTTATTATTATCTAATTTATCCTTAAAAAGAAACTTCTAAGTATTTAATCTATAATCTAACTATATATTTATTACTAGGCCTAACTATATTATAATATCTAAGAAATAGTATTTAATAAAGGTTATTAAATATATATACTAAATACTTATAAATATTAAAGGGAGGACTAAAGAACTATTTTTTTTAGCCTTTTATTTAAATAAAAGAATTAAAAAGTAAGATTATTATTAAAATTAATTTCTTATATAATAGTATAATATATATAATTTAAAAAGTATATAAGAAGATATATATATTATATAAGCTAATTAATTACCTCTTTTATTAAATTTAAATATAATAAAAAGTAAAGGTTTAATTCCTTTTAAAAGGTATTTTTTAGGCTTTTTTTAATATTAATTAAACTATAATTATTAATTAAAAGCTATAATTATTAATTAATACTATAGTATAATAACTAATAAAATAAAGTTACTATAAGTTAGTACTTTTAATACTTATTATATAGATAATATAAGATAAAAAAATATATAATAAGATATAATATATTAAGGAGAATTAATTAATTATTAAATTTATTATTTTAATATACTAGCTATTAAGGTAGGGCAATAGCTATATATTAGCACTTTAAGTATATTATAAATTTAAGTATATAAGTGCTAAAACGCAACTTTATAAAAGTGGGTATCAATGGTGCACCGTAAGGGGGCTAGCGCGGCAGCCGACAGCTCTCCAGTTGTGCGGGGTAGATAGTCCCAGCGATCGATGGAGGCTAAAATGGAACTCCCCGCGGAGATTCAGTTGGTCGCTGATCGACAAGGCCCCCCCCCCCCTCGTGGGGTCCTTCGTCACATGCAACGGCCCGGAGCGATCTTGTAATGCAACGTCAGCATGTCAAGCTACGTAGCGACCAGCTGACCAACATACTCGAGCATACAGAGGTATCCATGCTTGATACAGTCTGGCAACACCCTCCTCGCTGCGCTCTTATCGATGCTGCATGCAACAACCATTGGCCCTTGGGCGATATAGGACTCGACCCCAAGTTTTCCCGGCGGATGCAGTCAATGCAGCGCGTGTGCTTATGCATTGCGTACGGTTTTATAAGGAGACTGTCACTATGGCTTTCTGGAGCCGCTGCAACCGCTCTAACATGACTATCGATGTCGCTCCCGTCTGTGTATATCATCTTCGCCTTCATTGCGTCATGCTCCTGATCGCCGCGGCTGATGATTCAGCGATGTAGACAGATGCCAATGCCATGGCGGTACCATGTCTAGTGGCCGGTTTCTCAAGGCGGTCCGGCGGCATTTTGCCCCCGAGCGGGCTGCAGAAGTGGTCAGGGGACTCTGCATATCTCCTCTTACAGCCCAGGACTATAGCCATGTCGCCGTATGCGAAGGGTGATGTTGCGTACCCAGGATGTCGTCAGTTGTGGAGTGAGTTGCGAGGTCAGTTGCGAGGTCGAAACCGCGCTTCAACATCATACATAAAAATAGCCCATGGTTGTCTTTTGGTTCCCAGACATGCATAATGCAAGTCGAGTCTCAGCACAGCCAGCCACAATTTTGAGTACGCAGAGTATGACACCGCACGAGCTGAGCAGAGACACTGATCCGTTTCCCTTGCTGAGCATGCCCAAGGTTCATAACCAGAAGCCGCGTCGCTCTGCGCATCACGAGGGCGGAGTGGGCAACAAAGTGGCCACCTCACTCTCAATAATGTAGTCTCGCACTGCCGGAGGGGGGGGCGTAGCATTGAACCTTCGAATACGTGCTAGCCAAACGACGCCATCTTCAAATCGGATTTCAATATGGTAACTCATGCCTCCCATAGCAGTGCTTTGTACTGTTCTGTCATAGCGCAATGGCGCTATGGCGCATTGCATGCCCTATTGCAGGCGTGTAGCTGTTTAATGTCAAATTACGCTTTTATATATGCGACAAGGGGCACTTACGCTCTGCATTGCCGCAGAGCCTCACCGCATCAATTTCAAAGCTGCCCATGTATAGAAGCGAAACTACTTGACCATTTCGAGAATAAGCTATAGAGATGTGAAGCATCATCAGACAAAAAGGCTTTCTGCCAAGGCACTAAAGTTGGGCTGACGGCCAAGGAAGTCGTCGACCATCTGTAGCTGATTATCGAGGCTGCCGCCTGGCCTCAGCACATACTGTTCGAACCGTCCCCATGTTTGCTTGTTGCTGATGTCGTCGACGAACTGCGAGTAAAAGGCGTCCTTGGCAAACGCGGCACAGGCGAGATAGCCATAGTAGCCGACGTCATAGCCGTTTAGCAGATGCCCAAACGAAGCGTGCTCGTGCTCGGATTGTCTCGCTTCGGAACAGTCCAATCCTTCGTACCGCTCACGGCAGTCATACCATAGTTTGGACAAGTTGAGCGACTGTGCCTCTTCGTGGGACTTGGCAGCGTGTATTTTGAGATCAAACACCGAGATAGCTCTACATGTTCCGTTAGTATTATAAACCTGGCGCAAGCATCGTGAGTACGTACAGTTGGTAAAGGTGATATTTACCACGATGAATGTTTCGGATCTTGATAATCTTATCGAGAGTGTCCTCATCGATCTTCTCGGCCGGATCAGGGGAGTTTGCATTGTCTTGTCTCCACTGCTGCAGATATTTTGAATCCAGCTTGGTGTAGTGACAGCTCAAATGCCGCAGGACATCTTTTGTCCAACACCAATTCTCCAGCAGTGTGCTCGGCATTTCACCAATGTCCACCGGCAGGTGGTAGCCGTGAAAGTGAGCATATTTGGTTCGCGCCACAAGATCGTGGATGCCGTGGCCGAGTTCTGCACAAAGTCAGAAATTTATGAACAAAGCATACTCGACGTTACACATACCGTGGAATAATGTGACAACCTCTCCGTGACGAAGTTGCGCACAGCTGGATTCTGTTGGCGCTGGAAAGCTACACATCAGCACGGTTGCGGGTAGTTGTCTAGAGCCGTCCTGCTTCTCGTAGCCCTAGCGTCCATTAGCATCAGAAATACAATATCATAATGAAGGACCTACGCAATGAATATTGACGCATTGAGATCCTTTGTATTTGTGATCGCGCGCAAGGAGATCTAGATATAGAAATCCCACGAAGCTTCCGTCTCTGTACGTTTCCCACGCCTGGACGGTCGGGTGCCAAAGGGTGGACTCGTCGAGCCGCGCGTCTGGTATCTTCTTGAATTGCAAGCTCAGATAGGACTCAAACAGTTTTAGCATCTTACTGATTGTTGTATCAAGCGGGAAAAAAGGAGCGACGTTGGCGTCACTCACGCCGGCAGCCTTCATTTGCTGCGTTTCATAGTATGCCATATCCCACGGAGGGAGACCCTTGTCGTCACCTTCCTCCCACACTCCCCATCTTTTGCAATCTTCTCTTCGTATCGACTGAAGCTGGGCCATTTCTTCCACCCCCTTTGGAATGATAGTCTTCTCCAACTCGCCCAAAAAGCTCTCAACTTGTTCGAGAGACCGTATAGCTCGGGTCTTAATGCGCATGGCGGCGTGGTTGTCGTAACCGATGAGCCTAGCCCTCTCGTCACGCAGGACTACAATTTCGTGGAAAATCTTGGCATTTTCAGCCAGGCCCTTTCGATTTTGCAGGTACATTTTGCGACGAGTGGTTGGGTTGTCGAGATATTGTAGCACTTTGAGCCCGCTGTTGGCGGGAGGGCCGTAGAGAAGTCCTTGTTGCTCTCCTTGGCCGGCTTTCCATCCACTCAATTCGTGTGCCGATAGACCTTGAAGCTCATCTTTCTCGGAGTACCAAGCGCCTGGTCGCTCTTCAATCAGGGTTTTATTGTACGCCTTGGTCACCTCTTCGATGCGATTGTTGATCTCGAGAAAGCGTTTGATCCCATCGTCACCAAGAGACCCGTGGCCGGCATCGACAAATCTTTGCAATTTGTCTCTGAGATAGTGGCGAGACTCCTCGTCCAGCGTTTCATTTTTCTCGGAGGTAGCCTTGACGAGTTTGAACAGGTCGGCTCGCCGCAACCAGCCAGCCTCGGCTTCTTCTTCCAGCGTCGTGGCGGCGGCCACTGCGTCGTGGACGGCTGGGTCTGGAGACGCGTACTTTAACAACTCGATTATACCTTGGACAGTTTGCGCTTGGTTCTCGGCCATGGCCCACGGTAGCATCACGCTGTCGAAGCAAGCGTCTGTGAGCTTGACCGAGCCAACTACGCGGTCCTGCGCTGCCTTGACCATGGCGATGGAGACTCTCATGGTGGGAACGACTTGGTCAGCCGACAAGAGACGCGGCAAGTCTGGTGTAGAGGACATAGTGTCGGCGGTACAGTCAAAGATCTCAAAAGAATGTTAAACAAGCAGCAGAAAGAAAGATGATGTCTGGCAGAAACCAAGCAGGTGTGCCAGTTATCAACCATGTTGTGCGGGGTACCATGCCTCATGTGAGCCAGCCACCCTGAAAAACACGCCGCAGACGGTTGGCGTACCCGTGCGACAATTATTAAGACTTTAATCAATCACTGGTTCTGTACAATTCTACGGCATTTCCCGCAGCATGATAGCAGTCTTTCAAGCCGAAACATAGCTCAGCTCTGAGTGAACACGCAGGCGGCAGACGGCTTTTAGCGTTACATCACAAAGCAATCATGTGTTCAAAATAAAAAAGACAAGGCAAAAAAGGCCGTGTGCATTGGCCTGGCATTATTCATTCATAAAACATAAATATATTGCTGCTATGGAGCAGATTTTGGCCCGTTTGCGGGCGGACGCCACGCCGAATCCCACGTCCAGATATTCAAACCCACCTTTTGACCAGATGCCACGGGCAACCCGGCGTGGCGGACGAGCGTATTGAGGCTGCCGTTGACGTGAGTGTTTTCCCAGAACACGGCGGCTCCCTGGATCGGCTTGAATGTGACGCCTTTGTATACATTCTGGTCGTCGCTCGAGCCACACTCAATCACGTCGCACCAGCGATCGTCCTTGGGCATGGGCAGGTCGGGAAAGTTTGTGCCGCCTCCCGTGCAGTTGGCCTCGAGGAATATCATGAATGTGGCAACGCGATTACCCTCTTCCACGTGGGTGTCCCAGTCCCAGTGAAAATTGAAGAAGCCGTTGACGCCGTACCTCTGTACCTTGAGCGGCTCTATAATGTGGCTCTTGCCTCGCCAGCCCTGGAGCTTTCGGGCCCTTTGACGGATGCCACGCAGCGTCCTGTCCATCTCCAATACGGCTGTTTCCGACACGCGAATGTCATCGTCGTAGTACGCCTCCTCGCCCGAATACACTGGTGTCCGCTTGTACAGTCCTTCGCTGGAGACGAGAGTCAGCGTCACAATGGGAGAGTACGAAAGAGTGTAACTTGCCTTTTCTTCAAGACGTGCAGGATTTCTCTGCGACTCACAAAATCATTGATGTAGAGAATCAAGGGGTCCCGCGAAAATATTTGTACCTCGTAGCGATGAGGTTCGACTCTGAAGAGCAAGGCCGCCAGATCAGATGAACGGGCAAGCGGTAGCCATTCGCTTGACATGTAAGCCGAAAAGATAATAATGGAGCTGACGATGCCAACAAATAATAATGGGTATCGACCAAAAGAACCAGACATGGTTGTCTTTAATTAGCAACAAATGGGAATACAGGTTTAAGAGACTTGGTACAAAAGCATCGAGAGCCGCTTAACATAGCCGTTGTTGAGAACTACCGCAGATGACCTTGGCCATCCCCGCACACACTAGCTTGTTGTATTACTTATGCCATTCTCAGGTCACAACTTCGTCGTGATTTCCACCCAGCCCATGCACACCGCGACCCCGCTCAAGTTTCAAGACTTGCATTGCGCCGAGGCTGAGGCTGAGGCTGACCTTTGCCTAATTTTTCATCCCGTCACTTTGGCGGAGCTCGGTAATATGCACTCGTCGTTTAATGGGCGATCTACTGGTTGCATGACTGAGTATTTAGAGGGAGAGAGAACCCCCCTTCCGCCATCCTCCACACAAACCCATTTCTCACTTTGTTTCGTTACATCATACTTGTGTAAATCTTCTCAAGATGCATCTGACCAAATTCTTCGGAACCGTTGCGCTGTTCTTCGCTGCCGCTTCTGCTGTGCAGCCAAGGGTCGTCAACCTCGGCGACATCAACCGCCGCCGTGGCCCTTACAACCCTACTCGTATGTTTCTCTCAGATTTTACTCACTAATTAATACAAAACTTTCCCTGTGATGCTAACTCAACTCAAGCCCCCAACTCGCCCAGCGGCAAGATTGTCACCAACGGCGAGGAGGACGACGAGTAATCCAATCAAAGATCATTTTCTAAAGTAGCTACTTCTATAATACAAGTTTTTGTCCAAACCGTCTGTATCCAATTCATCCCCGTCCATAAAGTCCGTGTTAGCTAAACAAGAGTGTACGTTGCAGTAATGCCACTGTCGCACTGCTCTTTGGTTGCGAAAGTGGATTGGAAGTGTGTTGTATTGTTCTTCTAGGGTGCATAGGCCACCCTCGGGAGTATTCTAGTACATAGGTATTAGATTACTAACGGTGACTCTTTAAAGACTCTGCTCTTTGCGTCAGCCAGGCTTATATCAGGCTGCGCGGGAGTAGGGAGATACAGCACGACAGAGCCCACCCTTGCCCACATCAACATGGAGGCTGTGGAGTACGCAGCAAATTCAGCAGCCACTGTACGCACCATAGAACCATCGATGGCCGGTGTCACTGGGCCAGATGAGATCAACTCAATAGATGATGCCACTATATTGCTAGAATACTAAGATGGAAAAGAGGAAAGAGATACGGCCATGCGCGTGAACGCGTTAAGTGCCATCCTGTCCTTACGCCGCCTCCCGGATGGTCCCGTCGTAGCCGGCGATTAATTACAAACTAGGTAATCATCCCTGCAGGGAGACTAAGGACAGAGCCTCTGTCAAGCGGGGTATCAGGAACAGTGCCTAACGTAGTTGGGTTTCGGTAACAATTCCACTAACGTTACAGCTCTTGTCCCTTTACAGGGTTCTTATCCGATCTACCTGGCTTTACTCCGGAGTACCTGTACGTAGCTTTTTAAGTACTATGGCGCAGGTCTATACAAAGTACTACAAACAAAGCCCCTGTTTAAATACCAAGACTCCCTGCTAGTTATGTATTGACATGTACTATTTCTGGGGCTCCGTGACTTGCCTGCCCCTCCTCGTAGTCAAAGGGATAAATCATAAATCAGGCTGTCAAATGCAGACACCAACTGAGTGCAAGCAGGGATTCTTTGCGACGCAGCAAATGCCTGTTTAGTGGCTTGCACCGGACGGCGACATCCGATGGACTTTGTTCGGATTACGTCGAATCAAATCGCTGCGCGACTGCGGAGTTGGGCACGCGATGTGGCGGTCGCGAGTATCTGCTCCTCAGATTGGGCGAACGACATTTGGAAGATTGCCACCTGTACTGCATGCAAATGCCTGTCTGGTACTGAACCGATGCAATACATACGTATCTATGTACTTTTGTGCAGCTTGTGACTGTTGGATGGATGGATGAATTCTTGGGTATTGGGCTAGTCCCCGCTCAATTGATCCTCGCCCTCTTCCACTTCTCGACTCTCGCACTAGCTCCCCAGCTATAGGCACGCCTGTCAGATCTTCCAAAATAAAAGTTTGACAAAAAAATGAAGGACGCAAACCATTCAGTGAAATTCGGCTCTAGCCCTCTGTCATGGCGCAACATGGCATTGGCAGTCGTGGCGGCGTCCTTGGGAGCATCATGGATACGCAACAAGTTCGACGTCGCTATCACTACTGCCAACACTAACTTGATCGTGGAAGACTACGACTGCTTCCACGAGTATACCATTGAGATCCTCTCTCTGGATCCAGTAATGATGTATCTGAACAATTTTGTCTCAGACAACGAGGTCAAGCACTTACTTGAGGTCACGTAGGATGAACTATGACAACTCCCTCTCTGTCAAGATGCTAACCATCATAATCAATAGTAAAGAAGGGTTCAACGACTCTTTCGTGTATCTGCCGAACGGGACTTCCGTGGTGGACAAGCGCTACCGGACTTCCAAGTCGGCCATGGTGCCCAAGAACGATACCGTGTCACGATGCCTGCAGAAAAGGGTGCAGTCGCTGCTGGGCAACGTCCAGCACGAGGACACGGAGAGGCTGCAGCTGGTCAAGTACGCCGAGGGCGAAAAATTTGTGCTGCACAACGACTGGCTGGAGAATGTGCTCTATACCAAGGCCACCAAAACTAAGCCGGCCAGGGCTTATAACCGCCTTGTAAGCATCTTTGTGTATTTGGAGGACGACTGTGAGGGCGGCGAGACCTACTTCCCTAACATCAAGGGCGTGCCAGCGACGGCAGACGGAACCAAGTTCTCTCGGGATGCCGACGACATTGGGCTCCTGGTCAAGCCGCGAAAGGGCAACGCCGTGTTCTGGAACAACATCCACCCCAATGGCACCGGCGACGACCGCTTGGACCATTCTAGCCTGCCCGTGGAGTCCGGCACCAAAATTGGCATGAACATGTTTGGCCTGTATTTTCCCGACAAGCCAATTGTTGGCGTGTAGTTTCGGATTTGACAATAATACATCTTGATTTCGCATAATTTAATTTATAAATAAATTCTGAGACGTTGCTTATTGACTATACCAGTGAATCACGTGGATTAACAAACAGGCTATTTTGTTGTCCTCGTCCAAAAGTACTCCGCCTTTCCTCCGTCACGCCCGTGTGGCTGTTCTTTTTCTCCTCACCCAATCGATACGCTACGCGGCCTATAAAAGAACACGTGCTACTTCCTTTCATTTGCTTTGCATTTCAGCACCTCATAATCTTCCAAAAATGGCCCTTGTGAAGTGGCTTAATGGCTTGCGAGGCGTTGCCTCTCTGCTTGTGTACTGGCATCACCAGCAGCTCTGGTGGCATCATAAACACACCAGTTTACTCGAGCGAGGATGGGGCTATCATCAAAAGTTTTGCTTGGCTACATTTCCATTCATTCGTACGCTCTTCACTGGTGGACATTTCGCCGTGGCCGTCTTGTTTGTCATCTCTGGCTATGCAATTTCCATCAAGCCACTACAGCAGACTCGCGCTCAAGATTACGTCGGCTTGAACAACACCTTAGCTTCTGCTTTCCTAAGACGTTGGCCACGATTATTTATCCCGTTCTTGTTTGTCACCTTCGTTTATATGAGCTCGTGGTACGTACCAGGCATGAGAGCTTCGCTGCGCCCGCCCACTGCCTCGGACAGCTGGTCTGTCGAAGTTCGATCCTGGCTCAGCGAAGCGGCGGACTATACATTTGTCTTCAGCAACTTGAAACAGCCGTGGTTCTCCTACAACAATCATATGTGGTCGCTTCCACTGGAATTCCGCGGTTCCATTTTATGCTTGGCAGCGTTGCTATCACTATCCCGATGCACACAGCGAACTCGCTTGTGCTCATACATCGGTCTGATGTTCTATTTCTTATACTTCGTCGATGGGTACGTCAGCCAATGTATAAATATATCTACTGTCGTTTATTATAGTTCTGATCAAACCCAGGTGGTACTGTGCGCTCTATTTATCTGGCATGTTGCTGCGCGGGCTTGATGACATTCGGGAACATCCAGAACCAAAACAAAAGTCCGCCAAATATAATCAGAACACAGCCAAAGTCGACGAATCCCCATATGTTAAAGGTTGTATTATTTCTACATTTATTTTTGTATTTGGTATTTATCTGGGAAATGTACCTCATGTTCACTTGGGGGTGCTACGCCAAACGCCCGGGTGGCGTTGGCTGTCGCTTCTCAAACCCACCGCCATGCCAGATCCAAAATGGTTCTATTTATTTTGGGCTGCATCATTTGTCGTCTTTTCCATCTCAAGGCTACCAAAACTCAAGTTTTTGTTGGAAAAGAATGCCCCCCAGCAGCTTGGGAGGCTCTCCTTCTCACTATATCTCATTCAAGGACCGATCCTTTGGACAGTTGGTCCTACCCTTGACTACCTGCTTGAATGGGATGAAAGTTACGTCATGGAGCAGAATGGTACTACAAGCTCTGGGCCCCTCGGAATGGAAGTTGGATTTCTATTGGCACAAGCGATTTTGTTTCCAATCTCGGTGTGTTATGCGCATCTGTTAGAAAAGATGCTCGGGCAGCCTCTCAACAGGTTGCTCCAGTATTATTCCCTCACATTGTTCAATGTTCAGGCCGACAACAACGTCAAAAATAAATAACTTCACTAATTCTATTCTTGTCAGAATTTATTATTATCGTGTAAAAATCTTGGCAGGATAATTTACTTTAAACTAATCAATCAGTATCAGTAGCGGCGCAAGTAATCAATCACTTTTCAGTAAGGGTCTTAACTATCAATAAGTACTAATTGTTGGGATATCTGCGCTACGTCTCGGTGGTCAGGCGCCTTGTCGTGGCTCTTTACGAGTCTCGGTCCTTTCATTTATCCGAGTAATATTGTCCAACCGATATTTATTAGCGGCGTCTCGATCATGGCATTAATTCATTTACTTCAAGGTCGCACCTCGGAGCTCCGCATGACGCTCCAGAGCGGCTGCTAATGACAGCCCAGGGACCAGCTCCTCCCCCTTTTTGCGACATATAGCTTCTCCATCTCCTTCTCCGTGATTGGTCTAATTTACGCCAATCATATTCGATATTCCCTTGACAAGTCTCAATCAAGCCTGAATGCTTGTCAATTCATGCCCTCGAGTCAAGTTTAATGCCGCCATTCAGTCAGTCAAGTCGACCGAGTGTCAAGCTGTCGACTTGCCTAACTCTAGGCTAAGTAAGGCAAGAGGGCGAACGGCTAGACGAGATGACCCAGACCCACCCACCCATTCACATACTCTTTCATTCATATACTCTTCCACTCACTTATTACCCTGACTCGTTAGACTTACTACACTAGGCACACTTCGACAGCAACTACAAGAACTGCCAAGCAGATCAGCGGATTTTATACGCCTACCAGTTTGGTAACATACTGTACTCTCTTAGCTACTTGTTGGAATGGGCCCGTTCGTCCTCTATCAATATATTTAGTTAATTCTCGCAGTTATCAGTCCATCATCTCAACCACACATCAGCTCACCATGACTTACAAATTTCTTCAATGGAGTTACCTAGCAAGCCAGCCAAAAACTCCTGAGTCAGCTTGGTGATATGGCTATGCTCTGATTGCGCGTATTTTCCAGCAAGACAACGTTACAACATACATTCATCTAGCGTCAATGTACCAACGGAACTGACAGCAAATGAGCAGGTCACGCATTATCGTCTTTAATTCAGTCTGTCTTACATGCTAGGTGTCACATCCCTTCTTCGTTTTCCATCGTGGTTTCATCAACACACAGGTATTCCTACCGTGCCATGCTATTGACATGTAGCACCCCTGTTATATACCTCCCTAGTTGCAAACCTGCCTCTGTGGTAGGGCTAGCAGTGGGATGCTTCCCAACAAAGAGAGTCGTGTTAACTGTGAAAATGCAAACTGGCAATGTTGAACAGTGGGGAGGGTGGAGCGCGGCAACACACGACTCACTTCTGATAGTAACCGCCATGAGTCAATGCAGGTCGGCTCGACTTGCACAAATCCTTGGTTGAACAAAATATAATCATCTGCCAAGTAATTGACCCTTTATAAGACAGCTCAGGCACTCTACATGATTGGCGACATGATGAACACTATGAGTGGCAAGATCCCCCATGGTTACGTATAACATTAAACATCATGCGAGAGGAGAAGGGAAAGCATTCGATAACATACTAACCGTTCGTGAGACACGTAGAAGTAATCAATAGGCCTGTCTATCCAAGTATCAGGTGGGCTCTTCATATTAATTAACCCCTTCGGCCTGGACCCATTGTATAGCCCTGTGGTGAAGTGGTTGATCTGATGAAACGGGTAAAGGAAAACTGCAAAGCTACAAATACTTACATTTACGAGGGCATTACTTTCGGCCGGGATGGTCCACAGTGACTACGGGAACACCAGCAACTGAGCTGTGCATGGCGACTCAAAATACGTCACCAGAATTGCTACTCCAAAAGAAATCAATACTGCATTACAAAGCTACTGATTCTGCTAGCGGACCATGACAGAGCTTACGGGGCCGTCGGCCAAGACATTGCCGGCACTTTCTCGGACTCCCCATCGGCCTACTGATTCATTCCCATATTGCGCAACTGAGCTCAGAGCCGCGTCTGTACACTACCCACACACAATTGCAAGATTGCCAGGTAAAGAACTGCCTGGTACGTATCAATTCCGACTATGAAATATGGCCACACACGATTCATGGCCCTAATCCAGGCCGGATCTCGTCAGCATAGCTATCATGGAGTTTTCCGAACCTTGATCGCTCCGCGACCTGATGTTATAAAGGGTGGGATTCCTCGCCGATGTAGACCCCCAGAATCCTTCTCCGTACCAACTCAGACACTCTTTTCTGCGGCCCATTGAGCCCTATCCATTCATTCATCCGTTTCCAAACCATCACACAGAGCAAACCCGCAGCCGCAATGAAGTCGATCCCGATTGTCTTGACCGGCCTCGCCGCCCTCGCCGCAGCCGAGAGCACCAGCCATAAGCGCGCCACTGGCACCACCCCGAGCAAGGAGGAGCTCTGCGTCGGCTTTAAGAACGACTTTGCTGGTTGCTAGAAGGAGACGGAGAAGTGCATTGAGGAGATTAAGGACAAGGGGCAGGACTTTTCCTGGGACTTGGTGGCTAAGTGCCTCGCCGTGCGCCGTCCTCCGCCGACCAAGGAGGAGCTGTGCGTCGGCTTCAAGGACGACTTTGAAGCCTGCCAGCGCGAGACCGGCGTCTGCTTCAACAAGATCTCCGCCGAGGAGGACTTCACCTGGGAGAAGGTGTCCAAGTGTCTCGAGGGCCGCCTGCCCTCCGCGTCCGGTAGCGCCGCGCCGCCCGCCGCGCCCACCTCGACCAAGCCCGAGGACAAGCCTGTCGCACCTCCGGCCAACACGCCTACCGCGCCGCAGGACAAGGGCGCCACCGACGCGGGCACCGCGTTCAAGGCGGACCTCCGCGTCGATACCAACCGCGACGGCGTCGTCGACGTCGACGACACCTCGGACCAGGCCGGCAAGGACACCTGGACCGACGCCGCCGGCGCCATCTTCCTGCCCAACATTGCCGACTCGGGCGACCGCTGCAAGAAGCTGCACACCAACTTTGCGCTGCCCCGGCAGCTCGCCACGCTGTACGACACGCTCGGCAAGTGCCACGACGCCGCCGACGACGAGCAGCGCGCGCCGCAGAACCTGGCGCCCATGCGCACCATGCCCATCCAGGGCCTGAGCGACGCGGCCACCGGCACGATCAGCATCGCGGAGGAAAAGTCGCGCGCGCTCGTCCGCGTCTTCCGTGAGGCCAAGGGCGGCAAGTGGGAGATTGTCAACAACGACACCATCTTCACCGCGCAAGACCTGAAGGAGGGCCTCACGCTCGGCGTGGATGCGCGCGACACGCGCCGCCCGGACTGGGACGGCCGCGTGAGCATCGCCTTCACCGTGCGCGACGGCCAGGCCGAGTCCACCGACACCGCCATGCTGCGCGTCGCGCCGGTGCTCCTGCACCACCACCGCCAGGCCGTTACCGAGGTCTTTACGTCCGACTTCCCTCAGTTTACGGGCCAGGTGAAGGATTATCTCAACACCATCATCGCTGGCATCCAGACGAGCATGAAGACGGCCGGCATCACCGGCCCGCTCACGCGCCTCGCGACCAACGACGTCTGGGCGCAGGACTACTTTGAGCCTGGCTACACCAGCATGCCGGGTCCCAACGGCACCGCCGTCGCGCTGCGCGTTGTCATCGAGGGCCGCCACGACCAGAAGCACAACGCGACCAGCGTCATCTACACCACCCTCCGCGGTGACGGCGTCGGCGCCGTCGCCCAGAAGCTGCCCCGCCAGGCCGACCTCAGCAAGCGCAGCTCCGACTTTGACGCCGGCGGCAACCTCGAGTCCCTCCCGCCGTACGAGCTCAACGGGCACAAGTACCCGGCCGGCCGCATCCTCGTCGGCGGCGACAGCGACAACCTGCCCGTCGGCATGGACTTCTTCGCCGCGCAGGAGATACAGGCCCCGCTCGTGCTCGACTCGACCTGGCTCTCGGTCAAGCACGTCGACGAGATGGTGCAGGCCGTGCCCGCCAAGACGCCGCGCGGCTGGGCCCTCCTCGTCGTCGACGCCGAGATGGGCCTGCAGATGCTTCGCGACGCCTCGGCCGCCGGCTTCGGCAGCCAGCGCGTCATCAGCCGCTCGCCCCGCACTGGCCCGACCATTGCCCAGTTCCTCAACACAAAGTCAAACACCGTCGCCGCCGAGGTCGCCGCCAAGGCCATGGCCGCCAACATCGAGATCCTCAAGAAGGAGACGGGCCTGACCGATGCCGAGATTCACCGCGTCCCCGCGCTCATCAGCCTCCTCAAGCTTTCTCAGGACTACGTCAAGCCGTCCAAGCGCCGCCGCGGCCTCAGCAGCCGCGACGACGCTGCCGAAGCCGCCCTCGACGCCGAGTTTCTCGACAAGTTCCCTTCCCACCTGCCTGACGAGGACGAGACCGAGGCCGACGAGACCCCTACCGAGCAGCGTCGCCAGGCCGCTGCCCCCAAGCCCCCCCGCTACAACTCCGTCCTGCCCAGCCTCGTCAACGGCGTGCCCCTGTCCGACTCGCACTACCTGGCCCCTAAGCCCTTCGGCACCGTCATCGACGGCAAGGATATCTTCGAGGAAGCCGCTGCCGCCGCCTACAAGAAGGCCGGCTTCACGACTATTGAGTTCATGGAGGAGTGGAGGATTCATAGCGTCGCTGGCGACTTGCACTGCCTTAGCAACACGTTCCGCGAGACTTCTGAGCAATGGTGGTAAATGGCGAATGCCGGTGTCTGCCTCGCAGAACGGAGGCGGCGAATACGGGACCCCGATAGACTTGTTCAACTAAAAATTAGGATAACACTGATGCAGTGATTCATTGGTAGCGAAATTGAGAAACTCCGAGACACCTGTAATACTGCAGTAGTGAGCGTGGTAATGGTGAGGCCCTCGTCCTGTTTTTTTCTAAAAGCCAGGCAGTGTCAAGCCACAGGGCCCTCAGTGTTGTTGTTACGGCCTGCTTCCGTGGCTTAGTAGGTAGGTTGTGGCTTGCGCCATTGACGGCAGCAGTGCAGAGATTAAGGTAGTAGCCTAAGAACTAACTCAGTAAGAATATAAAATATGACTAATTATTACTAGGAATTTTAATTCAATAATAAGATAGTATATAGGAGAGATAGTTTTTACCTAGATATTTACCAGTTTCTTAGTAGCTTAGCGTTATATGGAGCCTCCCCAAATGTACCCTGACGCGTCTTATTCCGGCCACTATGCCCTGCCAGAAATACTCAGTTAAACAACGCGTGCCCGCACTTGCTAGTAAGCCAATCAGTTAGTATCAGTAATGCTGCAAACAGATCCACCAGTTTTCAGTAGGGCCCTTACCAAGCGGCGCTAATTGGTCGTATGCCTGTTGCAATCTTGTCGCCCGCCAGACGCTCTCAGAAATGCTCTTCTTAGCTTCGGGCATTGGTTTTGGTCCGTTTGTGACAGCGCGTGTCGTTGTCGTTGGCGGGACATGCTTCGGCCGTGGAGGCAATACGAACGACCGGCTCTGGGGGCCGCGACGATGAGCCACCGCTGGCTCCCGATGCCTCTCTCTTGCACATCGATTCACGCTCTGCATGAGTTTCCACTGCACCTTGGCCGGGTTTGCGTACCGACCTGGACCTTTTCGAACCCCCAAGCTTCTGAAGCTGCTCCCGCACAATAGTTTTCCCCACGAGGGACCGGGGAACTGCTGGTATCTGGTTCGACCGATTTTCATGTTCTCTCGCAGGACTGGTCAGGGGTGAAACCTCCAAACCAGGTTCGCGCCCCAAACGAACAGTAGACGCCTTGGAAACGTCAACAAGCTTGGGGGTGGCTGCGACTTTGTCACGGCCCTGATTTAGAGGATCGTTGGGACTATCATATGCCTCTGTTGCCGGTGGCTCCATCAAGGGGTTCCGAACCACTGTGGGCGTCTCATAAACGAAGGGAAGGTTGGGCCTGAGTGGACCTTTTCCAACGTCGTACACTGGCGCAGCGCTGGCCATTCTTTCCATTCTTTCCACAATTCTCCCCGCTTCGTCATGAATATCATCTGCTGACCACCTTTTTGCCGGGTCCTTCACGAGCATCCTGTCAATTACAAGCCGGAGCAGATCATTTTGCTTGTTGAATACATTCGTGTAGATGTTCTTGAAATGAGCCTCAAGTGCATCGACCCAGGCGTTGGCGTCGTTCCTCCACCCCTTTTCATACTTTGGGAACTTATTATATACTAGCGAGGCAATGACGACACCGAGAGACCATATATCGACGGCTGGGGTGTACGTCTCTTCTTTCGTTTCTTGAGAGCCAGAAGCTTTGCGATGCACTTCCGGAGCTGCCCATTTCAGCGTGCCACAATATGTCTTCAGGATCTCAGATGCTTTGGAGAGGCCGAAGTCTGCAAACTTGACACGTATATTTTCTTGGGTTCTCTCAGCCACAAGAATGTTCTCGGGTTTGATGTCGCGGTGAACAATGGAGGGTGATTGATTGTGGAGATATCCCAGGGCCGACGATAATTGCCACAGAATTTTGGCGCCTTCCAGTCCTGATATGTTCTCGAGCTTGTGCAGTGGACCTTCAGGGACATATTCCAGACGCAGCTGTGGATATGGATCGAGGCTCGCGCTGAGCAATGCAACAATATGTTCCTGGCCGATTGTTAGCATGCCAAAAAGGCTTCCGGACCGCCAGTACTAACATGGGAAATGTTTCTCATAATTACAGCCTCGCTCATGAATATCTCCTGGGTGAAAGGGTCGTGGCGTAAGCTTTCGAGAGGGCTCTTTACAACATATTCCTCCCCTGTGTTGATCTCCCAAAAAAATAACACCTCACCAAAAGCGCCCTCGCCTAGCTTTCTCTGGTAACAAACTGGGCCCGTCGGCGGTGTTCGTGTTCCACTAGGCTGTTGAGTGCGTTGCCCGGCCTGGAGAACAAGAGAGTGCAGAAGGTCCTCCGCCTGCGCCGTGCCAAGGAGAAATTTCTTCACCTTCTCGATGTAGTCTGGAGAAGTGAAGTCGTGTGTGGGCACGATAACCTTGAATTGAAGATCGTTTGTGATACGAAGAACGGGGTATTTGTCCTCCGCAATGCGGGGGCCGATCAATTGCCACTGGAAACTAGACAATGGCGTGGCTTGCTTCCCGTCGAATGTGACCACAGTTCCGCACGTGGAACCAAGGTCCCTTATGACCGGCTTATTGGTCTTGTAGTCGAAGGTAATGGCAAGGTGGACTTTGCTCACTCTAGGTATGTCGGGCAAAGCCAAATCGGCACTCTGGGCTGTTCCGCATACCACGCCATGCCTGGTTTTACAGCCGTGGCTGAACGTTACCACGATGGGGGGATCGGTGTTGCTGATCAAGTCATTTAGGTCAAAGGACCGAGTTTCCTCTCGTTCTTGCCAAGGAATTTTGCTTTGGCGAGCCTTTGGAATTCGTCGCTGGTTCCACGGCATGGAGGTCGTAGCCCTTGCGTCCTCAGTCAGCGGCACCAGGACTACAATAACATCGGAATTGTCGATGACCTCCATGAAGTTGAATGTAAGTTCACGATGACGTGATCGTAACGGCTGAGTAGACAGTTGATTTGACCGGGCTGAACACCTAAATTAATGTGTCGTTGCGAAGTCAGATAATGTGATGGGCAGCAATGTATCCGAACCCCTCACGCTGCCCGCCCGCCCCACTACTAAATGATAAATATAGAACGGAAGACCAGGCCGAGGTCATTAGTTCAAATACAGCCAGGACCACTTTTTAAACACACCCCCGCTTTAGTTAGAGGAGTCGCTACTATCACGACTCCATATGCATTTTCCGACTATTAAGTGTTAGTCACTTTGTGATTAAAACTCTTACTATTTCCTTTATTCTTCTATTTCCATTTTAGCTAGTCCAAGCACATTACAGAGTCGGAAATTTAGTGTTGTTAAATAACAACCGAACTATATTACTAGGCTTATATGCCAGACATGATTATTCAAAACTCGTAAAAACTGTTTAATAGTCTCCATCGAGATAGCTTGTTCTGTAGTAGGAGCTGGGAATAACGCCTCCTATAGAGAGCCAGATTGGCCAACCCGCAACACTGCCTGCTTTTCCTTCCATGGGTGTATCGCGGAGTGTGAACGCAGTAACAGCAACACCCGGCCATGCCTCTTGTATGTAGAGATCAGGCTGCTGCTGTGCACCTTTGACAAACTCGTTAGTGGTGGAGACCCAGCTTGTATTCCCTCGGTCGCTTGTCAGAGCCATGCATCGCGCCGCTAAAACTTGAAACGGAGCGGAGTTCAAGACACCATTGCAAAGGCGATGCTCTTAGGCCATTTTCCTGGCTTGAGGTGGGATTCAACTGGTCGACGCGTTTATCATCGGCTCGGCAAGACGGGCACTCTGACGTGTCCTAGTTGCGTTCGCGCCGGAAGCAGAATGTGCGGCAGTAGCACCGGGTTCGGCCTTCTTTGGTTGTGGCTCACGGGGTTTGGCCTTCTTGGTCCCATGTGTCTGGCCTGCTGTAATGCCATCCCCCTGCGGGGACATGTCAGTCCGCGTAGAATGCCTGGTTGTGTTCGCGCCGGAATCAGAATGTGCGGCAGTAGCATCAGGTTCGGCGTTCTTCGCTTGTGGTTCATCGCGTCGTCTCTTCTTGGTCACATGCGTCTGGCCTGCTGTAATGC